TTGGCCGCCATTTTCGTTTCGCTGGTGTTGCGAATTTCTCCAGGTTGCGATCAGATTCCAATTTGATTTCATGGCGGCGGTGTATTTGGCGCTTCTTTTCGTTGATGCGAGTTCCAGCCAGAATTTTGCTGGGTCAAACCACAAAACAAGACATTTGTTTTTGTTTTGCTAGCGATGGTGTTATGTAGAATTCAGCCAATCATTGAATGTGTTACAGATATAGGTCATGTGCATTAAGTCAATCCGGATAATTATGACTTAAGCCTTAACTCACTACACGGCTTTAACGGTCCCCCTAAAAGAGCAATATTATTAGCTTTAACGACCATAAGGATTTGATGTATGCTGAAATTCCGGAAAGATTCCATTAATAAAAAATGCTCTTTATAAAGATAAGAGTCTTCGAATTTCAGCATTAAAATAGTTGTAGTTCACTTAACTTTCCTAAATGGCAATAAAAATTGCGATCCCACAATTTTGAGAGCGCATATATGGTACTTGTAATACTCACAATAGTGCTCTTATGAACAAATTTACATTTTTTATGACTATTTAAGCAGATTCACCGAAGAAAATTTTTCTAATAACGTAAGCTCGCTTGATATAATGCAGAGTCTTTGGCATCAGTGCAATTTTACTCACTTTAGCATGATAAAAAATCAATTTTACTTTCAACCAATCAAGTTACGTATTCATTTCACATGTATAGCAATTACAATTGAATTTATTATCAAAAATCTTGATGCTGCCATATTCAACATGTACATGTATATGTATATAGAAATGAATAAAGCTACTATTTCTTTCAACAAACTTATCTAATGTTTGAACTAATTACAACTGAACCCCTTAACAACTGGACCCCTGAACCCAAACCCAATTTCCATTGACGAGACAACAGCAGAATTCGTTACTAGCGTCGCCACCATAGTTATAAATTTTAACATCACCACCATTGCCGTTTCCAGTGTTGATGCCCGTGTTATAGATGCCGGTGCCTCCTTGGACGTTTTTAACTATGGCGGTACCTCCGATGGCGAATTGATATGCTTGGCAGGAGTTTCCAGCTTGGATTGCGTTATTAACTGGATATGGTGCTGCGTCAGATGAAGCGAAGATTGCTAGGACCAAAACGACCATGAAAAGTTGCTTAAATGAAGTCATTTTGTTTTTATTCGATTTGTTTGTTGATTTTCGAATTTTGTTTGTTTGATACTTCGAATGAAGATTTAGGAAAGAGAGCGAATATTTCTTTTTATAAGAAAAATTTGTGAGAGACATTTGTTGTTTGAATATAAACTTGTAATAAAAGCACGTTACGTACGTATATAGAAATATCAATAATATAGAACAACAATGAAAATACATCAACTCGTATGATGACAATGAAAATACTAAAAATAGCAACTCGAATGACGACAAAGAAAATACTAATTACGAATGACGACAAAGAAAATACTAATCACACGAATGACAATGAAATAAACATCAGAGGTACAGTCGCCATATAACGTATCCATGATCAGCATTTGTGTTGTTTTTAGATACTTTTGAGTGTACTGGGGCTTGGTCCATCCGATAATCAGTGCGTAAATTTTGATCAACTCGACAAAACAAATCCGAAGCGCGGGCAAAAACATGAAAAATAACGAAAAACAGATGTCTTGGTATACTAATAAAAAATGATTTTATATACAATCTTGATCACAACTCTAACCCTAACCCCTAAGCTTAAAATTAATCTTTAATTATATAGTTATGTATCACGTGATGGACCGGCTTTAGACGTTCCCCACATTTGTTGAACATTTAAGATTATCTAGACTAGAATTCTGATAAATATTTTTTATTATTATTTGGAATTTAGTATATTTCTCAATAAATGAAATCGATTTAGCATAAGAGACAAAAAGGTCTTTCTTATTATTAATTGTTTCAATTCTAATAAATTTGATACATGTATTACCAAAACTACAAACTTTTAAATTTTAAACGTGTGCATCGCATGAAAAAATAGATCCGGCGCATAAGTCGGATAAAGTCACCAGACCTAGATATCGTCATTATGTTATGTGGATAAAGCAATCTGTTGACAAGTGAGAAAGCTGCTGGTTAATAATTAAAAATCCTTGCATTTATTCGAATAAAACGTTGATGGTAACGATGGAACAAGCTGTTGTTCATTTAATTTTGCGATGCCAATGCAGTATCCCATCAATTATTTTACTACTCACCCAGATACCTTACTGATGCGAGTATTTTATCTAATGGACATGTATTCTACTAAAGATGGAATACTATCATACCAGCGTATGATAGAAATTCAGGAATCACTGTTACGACAAGAATTCAAATAAAAGCAATATCGACGAGTTAAGAACATTATCATTCGACTCGTTTGTCTTTTATATCGAGGAAAATACATGGGAAATATCGATATTGAGTCTGAGATTTGATTTAGAATTTCGCCGAATGAAAAAAAAATGGTGACCACTTCACTTTATACTTTTTTAAATTAATTGACAACAATAATAATTAGTATTCTTGAAGGTAATCATCGAGTTATCGTTATGCGTAAAATTGACCACAGGAGTTTCTAACTTTTTTCCTAATTTTTTCAATATAGAAGCATTCCGAGCCAAACTCCTTAATATGTTTTATCTCTTTTCTAATAAATCAAGAGTAGCGGTATATTTCTGTTAAACGAAAAGCAATTTTATGTAAATCGAACATGTACATGTTCATGTGATCCCATTCAAACAAAAATATCACCATTAGATTCGTATAGTCGAGACGAATCTAATGGTGATATTTTTGTTTGAATGGGGCCACCGGATATCGAGATATTGGGATCCATTCATTTTTGAAATTTCCGGTAATATATTTAGGGAACAGGCAAGAATTCTAGCTATTTATTTTGTATCTGTCAAAAGAAGAAAGTTTTACAAAAATTCAAGTATAATTGCGATTTATTTTATTTTTTCACTTTATACATAAAAAATTATTTATATTAATATTTTGTCGACCCTCCCTTTGCTTCCAATACCACGTTAATTCTTTTTGGCATTGAGCTGATAACCTCCCTAAGAAAAGCGACGTCAAAGCTTAACCACTATGGTTCTTGGGAAGTTTTCATGCTTCTGGATATTATCCTTTAACAATTTTCTATAGGTTAAGGGAGAATTCGCTGGCCAATTCATAGTCTTAATCTTTTTTGCCTTGAACAATTCTGTAATTTTTGATTGCGGTGTGGGTCGGGGCATTATCCTGTTGAAACACCATGTTTCCTCCCATTAATGTACGTACTGTATGTGAAATGGTAAAAGATGAGTCTCAATAATTCGAAGTGTTTGCATTGATTTTTCCTTATTCGTCACAAAATATTAACAGTCCTTCCTTTCGTTTCTCCTACAAACCATTACTGAATGTCGGCCACTTTTAAAAGTGGGTGCACGCACTCGATATTAAACCTCTCACCCATATTTCGCCATACTCTTATTTGTCGGGATTATTTTCCAATTACACGCTTGATTCATCCGAAAAAAATGACCTTCCACCAATCGTAGGCGGTTTTTTTTCGCACTAAATAACACGCGCAGCTGTATTACTTTCCGAAATATAAGATCGAATTCCAGAATTATGTATATAGCACATTTGTAGCAGTTGACAAACTGCAGTTGAGCTTTAATTTCGTGTAATAATTTACGTCGCATTTTGGTGGCTTTTCTATAAGTGCGTTTTTTTCTTTGTGTGGTCTTCCAGGCCGAGATAAATTTTCGATTCCCCCCCCCCCCGTTCTCTTGTATTTGGCAATTTCTTCCGCGTTCATATATTCCATGAAAGCGAGGATTTTGCCTTTATCCGCATCAGTTAACTGATGACAACAATATTTGTGAAGAAAAAAATGAAAAAATGAGAAAATTGCGTTTAATGTAAATCGTTACTTTCTATGTATCCACCCAATAACATTGTGTATTTTGGAAAATTCTATGGTAATAAAGATTAATGGTTTTAAGATTAGCGTTAGGGTTAAGGATGGTGTCTTCCAGACCAGATTTTGGCATTTGTTTCCTGTATTTTTTACATTTCTCGCATTTTATTTTTTGTGTCTCCAGGTTGATCAAAAATTTATGCATTCTTATTGGCTGTTTTTTATCATAACCAAATCGGGTAGATGCATTCTGGACATGTATACGTAAGTTGGCGTACATTCTAAAAAAATTGAATACGTGTATAGTAAAATCATAGACACGTCAAACAGACAATAGACTTTCAAGATTAAAAAATAGGCAAATTCAAGAGCTCATAGACATGCAAGCCAATACGCTTTTCAAGAATAAAACAGACTCATAGACATGTTGGACTATACTGTACTCGTTTCAATAATAATACATGTGCATGTAATAGCGCGCGATAGTGATAGGTAAACTCAGATGTTACACGTCTATGCCTATTTTATTCGATAAAAAGCGTATTAACAAATATTTCAGACAGAAACCTTCTTACCATTTCTTATCATTATTCACTTGTCAAATTAACAAGTAGCATCGAATAAAATGATTACATTTAAACAATTTTTTGTACCTACTTTGATTCTAGCAATCTGTCTCTTCGCTTCATCTTACGCAATTCCTGTTCCCATCAGCGTCGACGGCAGCCAAGTCGATCTCAATTCTAAAGGCATCGACGTTGGCAACGGCGAAGGCATCCAGAATACAGATAAGGGTATTAACGTTGGTGACGGCCACAAAGGTGCAAACAACAATGGACCCACTCTCGTTAACAACGGCATCAACGTCGCCGACAGCTACAGTGGCAACGGCCCAACTGGCGGCATCGGCACCATTAACAATGGCATCAACACCGGTGTAGGTAGCGGTGGCGACGGTATTAACGGTGGTTTAGGCGGCGTCGGCATCATTAACGACGGCATCAATACCGGCAAAGGCACCGGCGGCACCGGCGCCATATATTAGCGTTAGTTATAAAAGGTGTGGGTCGTATATAAGCTTGTTGAAGAAAAGCAGATAGTATGGCAGTTTCAAGATTCTTTTTTGTGAATCTACCTAATGTAAATTTTATTATAAGCGTGCTATTGTGAATAGATATCAAGTATTTAACGAAAAATATTTACAACAATACAAATGAATTTATATCGATATTAAATAAATTTATCATTATTTTGCTAATTTAACTATTTAACATCCTTACGAAATGGTCAGGTCATGCTTTTAAAAAAATTGGTTAGCATGCATCAATGATTTATGTAAAGTCTAATGTTTCGGTAAAACTGTATGAGTGACTTTAAAGAAAAAGAAATAAAGTACTTATAATTAATTATAAGTGATTGTGTTTACAATATTAGAAATCAATTCCCAACATTGATAATCAATTTCTAATATTAGCGTTAGTCTAATATATTTTCAAATTAAGAACTAAAATCAAAAAATACAATTAACGTTAAAATAAAGTCGTAAATCATTTTACTTGCGGCAAAAAAATTGTCGGTCACATGATTCAGATCCCCTAATATTACGGACAGTGCTTATCTTTCCGGACCAGTGCCGATGGGTTACGTCGATCATACCCGGCCACGCGTAAATATGATCCACATGTCGGTTTCATTGTGATGATTGGTTTTGCGATGATAATTAAAATCATAATGGCATTTAAAATTAGAACGATTGGGAAGGGTCAAGCGTTTTTGCACACTTGAATGTTCTTTGTGACTAAACGTTTCTGTATGATTGATTTCTTTAATTGAAATTGAAATAATTAAAAAGAAACATAATGTTTTTGTATGGTTGATTTCTTTAATTAAAATAATTAGAGTAAAACTTGCTACGCTAATAAAATGTACAAATATATACTGCGTGCAATAAAAGAGTCTTTATTTGCTGTCAAATAAAATTTCTATACAATTCCCTTTAAAGATCGATTATATTACATTGTGTTGTTTTGATTATATATTAAAGTTGGAAATGTGATAATATTATTTTAAAAGAAAACCTAATTAATTAAAATCAAATAAGTATTATAGTTTTTTTCAAACTAAATATTATTATTAATTGTAAGAAGAAATCCTAATAAATCTATATATACCAAAGTCAAGCCAAACAAATATATTATAAATATAGAGAAACAGATACTAATGTAACAATATAAAGTACAAAAATAATTTAATTATTTTATATTAAGCAATCAATTTTTGCAAGAAAAAAAGTGCAATCCATAAACAGTACCAGTACAATTATATCACAACCACAAATTCCAGTAATTAGCAGCAATTCATAATAATCAAAAGTTTAAAAAAGCTATATAGCAAGATGCTAAGATAACTGGTTTTACTTTTAATATATCATTATCAAAAATATCACATGTTGAAAGGCAAATATAGAAATAATCACATTTTATTATTTTACTAATTGTTTTGAATGAAAATACTAGAGTTTGAATAATATAATTTTTCAAAAATTAGCATAATTACAAACTATTTTTTTATTACAAGTTCACTATTTTCATTAATATTAGTTTCTTAATACAAAACAAAAAAGCTAATTTATATAATACTCAAAAGCAAGTATAACCAAATCAATTATTAATATAATATATTGAAAATATGATATTATATATATAAAAGATATTATTAATAGATATATTAAATTAGAAACACTATGAATAAAAACTTTAATATATTAATTTTTACAAACATTGAAGAAATATTAATATATATTAAAAATGATTATATACAAAACTTGTTTTTATATATATCAAAATTATACATCAAATAACTATATATTTATAGTAAATATAATATATAAAACAAATTTATAGTGAATGTAATATATAAACAAATTTATATAAGCTTTTTCTCATCAATATTATTAATATTAGCAATATTAATAATGCAAAATTCTTAATATATCAAATTGCAATAATATAGATGACAAATAAATCTATGAATAATTTTTATATATCTTAAAAGATAATTTATAATATTTGTAAGAATACTTTCTTATATGAAAAGTAATAAGATAAATTTATTAATTGTTATAAATAAATTATATCAATTGAGATAGTTTTCAGTTTTAACTTTAATAAAGCTTATTTTTTTATTTATTAAATAGTGAAAAGATCTAAAGAGCTATAGTATAGAACAGAGATATTTAAATATATAATTAATATTAAATGAATTACAATAAATTAATAATAAAATAGAGAATAATTGATTCTAAATTATTAATCTTAAAGATAATGCATCTCCAAGTTATGTTATACTTAATGAGATATGTATAAAATATAAATAATAATAAAAGATAATGCATCTCCAAGTTATGTTGTACTTAATGGGATATGTATAAAATATAAATAATAATAAAAGATAATTAATATGAATTTAAAATAATAAATGAAAAAGAAAAAAAATGAATAAAAAGATAAAAAGAAAAATAATTAAAAACAATATGTGTCTAAATTAATAATATGATCTATATTTTACATCTAATTTATTTGGCAAAATATTAAGAAGCAAAAAATGATAAACATAATATAAAAAATGATAGACATAATACAAGAAATTACAAGGATATATGAAAATTATTACAATATTTTTTACTCTTCAAAAATATTTGTTTCAAACAAAAATCAAACTCTTTAAAAAATAGCAAATAATATTTTTTAGAAATAAAAAAAAGCTTTGTATTTAATATATATATTATAATTCAAATATTAACTTGTCTCAAATATCAATCATTATGTGAGATATCTCAGTTGAGCATATGATTCAATTATCATATAATTATTAAAAATAGTAATGTGATAATGACTTTGTAAAATATGTCATCTTATAAACTTTTATTATAGAACTTTAGATTCTAAAATAGTTCTTATTTCATTAGTATCTCTTTTTATAGTATGTTCTTTTTATTATAATTATTATCAATTTTAGTTGCTCTCTATTTCATTTTTATAATGTTCATATATCTTGAATGCACTCACATTCTTCAATAATTTTCTAATTCTCTATGTGCTTGTAAAAGATGTATCAGTAGGACATGGAAAAATTAGGTAATATCAAGCAGGATAATACTAAATTTGCAACTTTTTATTCTTTTTTCAATGACAAAGATTTCACTAATAAAAATTGTTAAAATTATTAGTTTGAAAATGTGATAATAATTGAAGAAAGTTAGTAATATGACTAAATAATGATTGCAGAAAGCCAGTAATATGATTATATAATCATTAAAAAATTAATAATATAATTACATAATAGTTGAAGAAATTTAGTAAGATGACTATATAATAAAAGAGATTCAGTAATATAACCATATAATAATTGAAGAAAGTAAGTAATATAACTATATAATAGAAGAAATTCTATAATATAACTATATAATAATTGAAAAAAACAAGTAATATGATTGTGTAATAGAAAAATTCAATAATATGACCATATAATAATTAAAAAAAGCAAGTAATATAATTATATAATCATTAAAGAAAATTAATAATATGACTATATAATAATTAAAGAAATTCAGTAATATGATTATATAATAATTGAGAAAAGTAAGTAATATAATCACATAATAATTGAGAAAAATAAGTAATATAATCACATAATGAAAGAGATCCAATAATATGACTATATAATGATTAAGAAAAATAAATAACATGATCACATAATGAAAGAAATTCAGTAATATAATTATATAATTATTAAAAAAATTTAGTAATACTCTACTTTAAAATTCTTGAAAAAATGAATTTATAATATCTACTCATTGATTTTACCTATAATGATCATATTTCATATAGAAATCAAACAAAACAGATCAGGTAAAAATTATACTTTTTATTCTCAGTTTTAATATTATAAAAAAAGCCAGTAATATGATTAAATATAATCATATAATTAAAGTTGATTTATTGTGTTTTAAAAATTAATATGCTTAATATAATTATAAAAACTTGATTTTTCAATGCAAAGTATTTGAATAAAATTTGTGAATAAAAAAATTTATTTTTTTGGACCAAGTATTTGAATAAAAATTATATAATATTAATATATAATTTATAATAAATTCTCTAATATGAGTAGTCAGATTTAGATAAAATCTATCACTATTGTTTGACTGATATTGTTTATTTTAAATATAAAAAGGAAAGTGGTATTTTTAATTTTGTTTTCTGCTCTTGTATAACTTTAATACTATATGTAATGTATTTTTATGAAGTATACTTTTATTAATTGTAAAATCTTTGATAATATTAATTAGTACATTTAGAATTTATCTGAATATAAGTGAGACAAAATCTTAATTTTTAAATAAAATCAAATTTACTTTACAAAATTTTTCTAATGTTGATGATATTGATAAAAAACTTAAACTTGAGCAAAAAAGTGATTTCATCTTGAAGAAATAACTTCTGATCATTTTAGAGTTATAGTTAAAGCTAATAATAATTCTGTTTTAATTATAAAAAAGATATATAAAATTCTTTGTCATAAACATAGTAAAGTAAATCAACATGCTGAACAAAAGTAATTGTGAAAATTAATTAAAGATAAGTGAAAATAGATCAAGCAAGATATTATTGAACAATTTATAAATAATTATACTATTTATACTGTGCAAAAATTCAGTTTTCATTCTTTAGTAATTAAATCAATTATTACTAAAAACTTTTTGATATGTGTACAAATAAGTAAGATATTTTGTTTTTAAAAAACTATTAAATATTAATTATTATAAAATTTTTAGATTAATTTAATTAATTTATTATATAAACTTAATAAGGAATTTAAATATGTGTGTATCATGTTTGCAATTATTTCACGTGACTTTCTTAGGCAAAATCTTTAATATGGTGCATAACATCTAAATCATCAAACATTTGTATATTATAAAATGTATAAACTTCTTTACTAAGAAGTAAATACAAAATTTAATCCGTGAATATTCTCAGAAAG